CTGCGTTGATACACTTTTAATAGGCATAAATACAGAAAAAAGTTACACTACGAGTAGAAAGGTTAATTCGCCTAGTACACTCTCGTTATTGTTCAAAAACTCTCGAAAAGATTGATCTCAGTGCTTCTATTACCAAACTACATTCTGTTGCTTTTTCACCGAGATCTTATTTTATTCCGTTGAAGTTTCGCGAAAGTTCGGCGAAAGTCTCACTTTTTTCGAAATTATTCGATATTCCGCCGGAATAACACCGAAATGCGAAATCTCGGCGGATTTTTAAAAAAAAGAACGACATGGGATCCCACAGGGTACCATTAAAATGTTTTTCCTCAGAAACTAGCCTACAAAAATATATTTTATCGGCACTGGTTGTGCACAGATGCGCACCGATGCCGAATAATTTTTTTCTGGGCCCCGATGCGCATCGGTGCCAGAAAGCATGTGAAAACCTCGCAACGATGCGCATCAGTGCCAGAAAGAATGTAAAAATCTCGCACCGGTGCGCACCAGTGCCGAAGTTTTGTTTTCAATAACCATTTTATTTTGTCAATTTCTGTCTATATTAACACAACAGTACACAAACCTAATTAATTGATTAAATAAATTTCAGTGCGGCACTGATTTTTGCCAGTGCGACACTTTTTTGGCAGAAATATATCGGCACTTGCTGGGCACAGTGCTGCATTGGACTTTTTTTTATAGGGTGTATATATAAAAAAGAAGAAAACTTACTAGAAAAAAATAGAATATAGTTCACTATGTACAGATAAGAGAAGAAAATATCACGCACTAAGAGAATGAGACAAGGTTACGAACCAGGTTATGAGACTAACCGTGTGAAGTATAACCCAGGTCGAATTCGCCCGATCGGATCCTTTTAATTCTGGTGATCTGGAGGTCGGACGCCCGGCCACTTTAAATGTGACACTACAGAAAATGAGAAGTTGCTCATCTCAAATTCTTAACGGTGTGAGTCATCGCTCACACTGTTCAACGGACGTGTTGTAGACGTCCTAGTTAGTGGGGCCTTCCACTCTCTCGAATAAACAGAGAGAAGAACCACTAGAAAATGAAAGAAAAAATTTAAGACTATTTTTAACCTCGAAACTGGGCACATTCTGCCACATCCAGCAAAATCAGATTCATTGGTCGGATCCGGTCGGATCTTTTCCGATATCTTTCGGTACGGTTGCTGCCGGATTTTACCGAATTCTGGCAACTTCCGTCAGGATCCTTACGCCGAAATCAACGAGCCGGGTGATCAGCACATGACAACTCGAGCTTAGTTCATAAATGAATCTAAAAAATTCAACAATACAACAGACTGATTTACTATGGGATGAAATTTTTGTCCCATCCCATCTATAGCTTCAAAACTCTCATCCTATCCCGTCTCGTCCTATGGCGTGTTTATCTTGTCCTGTTCTGTCTCACGGATACTTTAAAAGTTTCGTCTCGTCCCGTAGTATCCCATGAGATTCCCGTCCCACTACGAGCCCTGTAACCAGTTCAGTATATTTTCTTTCTCAGGTGTTTTTAAGATATTTTTATCAATCAAAGAATCAAAAATCTCATCAAAGACTTGTTCGTTAAGCTTCTAATTAAATGTGCGAGTTATCCGAAGATCTTCGGTACTTGTAATATTACATTTTGAATTTTATGAAAAACTTCAGAGATTTCTTATGATGGATCATTTGAAATCTTTACAAAAAATGCATCAGAAATACATAGTTTATCTCGCCATATTTTAGAACTGATATTAATTAATTTCAAAATTCATCTTTTTATCTTGAAAAATCCGCCGTGTCTTCCATACTATTATTTCTTTCATTGCTATGAAAATGCCTTTACAGACTTTAGCACCCGGTATTTCCAGACATCTATTGATTCATGGATTAATTTTAGTCGGACACAAATGATTCTCAGTAATGATTCTTTCACTGTACATTCATTTTTCGTAATATACCCGAGAAGTGGCAATGCTGCCTTCTGTGTGAGTAATAGAACTACCTTTAAAGTAAATGTTTTAGAGTACGAGCATACAATCACTACTGGAAGCTGGCGCTCCCTTGAACAAAGTTTTCTCTTGCAAATCAAAGTTTTAGTGATTTACTGCTAGCTAACTAGTTAGCAATTATTACATTACACAGAGAAAAAATAGATTTTTGAAAGAAATAGACAAAGCTATTGTATGATTCATCAAGTAATCCATTAGTCAAAATATTTTAGCAATCGGAATTGTATACACTGTAAAAGTAAAAGTGACATCGGAAAGCTTTCCGATGTCACTTTTACAGTGTGGTGTATACAATTGTACATCCAGATAAGCGAATAAATTTCCTTTATTTATCAATCATCAGCCACTTTAGCGGATCAATACTGTTGTTATGCGGGGTAACTAATCATCCACCCTTATAGGTAGCACTGTCTACAAAAGCGGATCACTGTAAATTTTGACTTCACTAAAGTGGATAGGTCATCCACTTAAGTCAGCCGGCCGGGTAACACTTTTCAGCTACTATAGTGGATGACTATAGCTAAACAAAGGAAAATCATCCACTTTTCCGGCTGTTACGTCATCCACTTTAGTGAAGTCAAAATTTACAGTGATGATCTGCCACCCAGTATAACAACAGTATTGATCCACTAAAGTGGCTGATGGGTGATAAATAAAGGAAATTCATCCGCTTTTCTGGACGTACAACAAAGAACAGTGGATGGTATGCTTACTCACTTTAACTATGTCAGTTTTACGGTGTACATATCAGTGTTCAAAACCTATTTTCTCTTGAAGCTGCTCATAAAATTACAGATTTTTGTTTCTTTAGATATGTCTGATTCAGAGGATTATAATGACAACCACCGGCACGAAACTGAATGGGTAAGCGAAAAATAGAGGTTAATTTCAATTGGATTTGGTGTTTTCTTTTCAGAGATCGTCGAAAGTTAAATACAACGATTATTGGATACACAGTATCGACTATTGTTCATGTAATAAGCCAATTAGTACTACAGAGGATTCTGTAGCACGTGGAACATCGGTGGAGAAACTGATCGGACCAGTTCATGATACCTATCCTAATAGAGAACATTGCTGGGTGATTTCAAATGGAACAAGAAAGGAATATGTCCTGTTGAAGATCAAAACGCCTGTATTTATAAGAAGTGTACACATTTATGAAGATGTAAATCCTGGTGCCGTTGTAAAACTCGAAATAGCTGATAAAAGAAGTATGCATTAATGAAAATTACTAATGAAAATTTCTTGCTCAGTATTCAAGTACTCTTCGTTTTTTATCACAGTGTACAAGGAGTAACGTTTTGTTTCAAAAACTTTCGATGCAGCTGTTGACAAATTCTTATTATTGTTTTCAGTAAACGGAAACGGTGATAGTTAAATTATTGAATCACCCCCACCGCGTAACGCTTCATCTTCTAACTGTTGTTGTTGTTCAGAAACGGAGAAAGAAGAAAATGGTGTTGCCGTATGCGCCAATTTTGTTAGAAGTCGGTCGATGGTTTCAAATTTTTTTGGTATTGATGTGTTTTTAGTCATATCATTACTTAACTGAGCATTTAATTCCGCACTTTGTCATTAGAAACGGTGTATTGTAGTGGTGCGACTATTTGCTTGCTGTTTTTGACATATTTTCTAACATTCAGATATTTGGTTTGTTGTATGGGAAGGCGATGAACCACCAGTACATGGTATTACAAATCGAATATTTTCGCCCGTTTTACGAAGATTCCGTATATCAAGCGATCGATTACGTGTTACCGTTGATCCAACAAAATATAAAGCAATCGCAATAAATGCTATAAGTAAGTGAATGAATTTTTTTTTCGACAGTATGAGAATTATGTGTTGAGAGGATATATATATTGTCACCACTCCGTTTCACGTGCAAATCTCACGCGTTAATTGTGTACTGTTGATTTTCTTTTAGAAATAATTGGTTCAAATATATTTGAACCTTTAGTACGTTATATACCGTTATCCGATGCATTGTCAGAATTATTCAATAACAATAATCAATACACTAATATTCAGTTCGATGTCGACGGTCATCTCATAAAAGCTCATAAAAATATTCTTTGTTCTCGTAGTAAATATTTTCGTACGCTAATATTAAATAATATGTGTGAAAACCAATCGTCTAAAGAAGAACCACTACTAATTAAAGATGTTAACTATGATACATTTGTTGAAATGTTATATTTTTTATACACGGGAACATTACATAGAAATTTATCTTACAATAGATATATTGATTGTTTAATTTATTCTACTAGGATCAATTTGACTGCTGCAAAAAATGCATCATTAGAACGACTATGCTGTCATTTGAAAACAAATCATGATGATATAATATCAACATACCTCAAAGTCAAACACCTATCTCCCTTATGTGATCAGCTCATTGAATATATTTACGATTTATGTACATATTCTACAATGAAAATATTTCATAAAGAAGCTTTTTGGAATCTTGATAAAGATTCAATGATGGATTTACTTAAAAAACATGCTGAACGATTGGATGCTATGGAGAAAGCAGAACTCGATACACGCATGTTGATAGAAGCAGCCGCACTTCAAGGTAGGAATGAAGAATAGAATGGTTGTTTGCATAACTCAACTCCCGAATACTTGCTTTTTATCGTGACAAAATTATTTTTTAAAGCGAATGCTTTCTTTTCCTACTCCATTCTTCTGTCGATTTCTTTCTAACGTTTTACACGTTTTTTGTGATAAATCTGCATATAACTGTGATACTTTGCTTCTCATTGCTATTTTTTTTTATGTAGAGGCAAGTGCTTAAATTTAATACTTACATTTCAAATTCTGTTCAAGTGGCGTTTTTTTTATATAGATTGTTCTATTTTCAACGCTTCAATAAATCTGTGCTATTTTTTTTTTGTTGTAAAACGCCTTTTTTTATTATTGTATCATTTTGTTAGTAGGAATATATAAATATGCTCATTTTTTATTTTTCATACGTTTTAAAACTCTTATTTTATCCGTCATAGTTATGCTCCTTACTTAGCACCACTACATCTTTATTTAGTGTTTAATAATTCATTGTTTATTTCTTATCACAAACAAGTTTACTGTTGCTAGTACAAGTCCAAAAATTATTTTTGTTCTTTCTAAATATAACGCTTATATTTCAGCTGTTATCATTTATATAATGCTCTTCTACGCGTAATATATGATTATTTATTGCATTTTTTATTCCATAGATAACTGTTTTAACGGCTGTTATTTATGACATCTTTCACAACAACAACGACGACCATGCCGTCTTCAGGTACAATTCGTATTAGTAAAGGAAATCGTGAAATTGATCCAAGAGAAGAGGAAAAAGAAGGCATTGTACAAAATATAACAAAGCAAGCTTATTGGCATGTGTCATCTTGTAAACCAGGTACGTAAATACGAGAGAAAAGTGCAGGATGAAATAGAATTAAAAAAATTTTTCATGCAGGACATGGTGTTGATAAATTATTGGATGAGAATCTTGAAACATATTGGCAGTCAGATGGTCCACAACCACATTTAGTCAATATACAATTCAAGAAAAAAACAAAAATTAAAGATATTTGCCTCTTCTCAGATTTCAAACTCGACGAAAGCTATACACCAAATCGGTGTGTATATTTAAAAGAATTACTTTGTCACATTTTATGGGTAAATTTTGTCTTTAGAATATCTATTCGTACTGGTATTCATCATAATGATTTGCAAGAACTTCAACTTGTTGATTTACATGAGCCAGCTGGATGGGTGGTTATTCCAACAAGAGATTCACATGGAAATCCTATTAAAACATGGATGATACAAATAGCTGTATTAGCCAATCATCAAAGTGGACGTGACACACATATAAGACAAATAATTGTACATAGTCCAACAGAAACATCATCGATATTTATTGATCCAAAATTTTCAAGTATTGAATTAAGTCAACACGTTATTTGTAGATAGTTTTACTACGTTTGTATTTCTACGACTTTAGTTTAATTTTTTTTTCTTCAAAATGAAAAGAGAGTATGTTTTTTTTTAATAAAACTTGTCAGATAGTCTGCGATAAAATAAACATACTTATTCTATTTGGAGAAAAGAACGTTGTAAAAAATGTCGTGACTTGGATTTTTAAAAATTTTGGATAAAATGATCAATGATTCAAAACGTCAACTCTTCTATTTAGGTAGCGAATCCTCGAGAAAAATTCCAAGCCGTCGAGCAGAGATGTTCAGGACCCAAGCAGGCGACAAGACTTCTGAACCCGAGGATGCGACGAGAGCTTGGAAAATCCTCGCATCTCTGTTCGACGGCTTGGAATTTTTCTCGAGGACTCGTTACCTATCTGAAACCCGAGGGTCCGAAGTCTCCTTTTTGAGAGATCGAACCTTCGGCGAGAGCCCATGGAAAGCGTATTTCCGAGTACTCGAAATATTCCTCGAACAAGTGGTTGGGATATAAAGTTTTACTTAATGATATTCTCTTGATGTTTCTTTGATATTTTCTCCTGTCTAACCAAATTTTTTTACGTTTTTCTTTTTTAAATATATTTTTGTGAACTATCAGTTTATTTGCACGATTGTATCTGATGAAGTCTTGTACTACTCTACCATTGTTCGCTCAAATTTTAGCAAAGACTAACTTCGCTTAAAAATACAGAATATATAGATAGTTTTATACCTTGACAGTCTGTTTTTATTCAGTTTGATATTGGATTCGTTGTTTTTCTTGCTTTTTCCATTACTCAACAGAAAGTTTCATTACTTTACTCTACATCGATTCAAACAATATAAATAATATGTATTAATGGGTTTTTTATTTAAATCAATAATACGATAAAGAAGTTTTGACTATCAATTATAAGATATATTCAAAATGGAACGATGGCAGTTATCCAGAAAATTAAATATATCACGATATAATATTAGACAATATTCAATCATTACGAATTATTTTCGTTCGTTAATATATTCTTCATAGGCATACTTTAGTCTCTCACACGCTATTTTAATGTCATCACATGTGGCTATTGCAATGCTTAGTCTTAAACAACATGCAAGTTTTTTCTTGTTTTCATTACCACACGTAAAGACTTTACCATGGTGAAAATTTAAACCCATTTTTTGACTATATGTTAATAATTCCTCGCAATCAATTGTTTCGTCATTGAATCTAAGCCACAAAAAATAGCCACCTGTTGGACAAGGATCTTTTCGAATATTTTCACCGAATTTTTCGTTGAGTTCATTGTAAAGACATATCATACGTTTTGAATATTCGATACAAAGCGTATCACGAATATATGTTTGTAACCAATCATTTACAAGTATTTTATCAACTATAGCAGATGAGAATGGATTAGCACCACCTGAACTTTGCATCAATCCGAATGAAGATATTGCCTTTATTTTCAATTCAGAGGCTACTGTCCAGCCTAAACGAATGCCGGGCGTGATAATTTTGGAAAAACTATTCAGAGTAATAACTGTCTCAACATTGTGATAAATCATGAATGAATAAGGATGCGAATCACCATAGTTTAACAAATGGTACACTTCGTCAGATAAAATAAGAAATTTATATTTCATACTTAATTCAACGAGATGATTTCGCCTTTCGTTATCCATTAAAAAACCGGATGGATTTTGAAATGTAGGAATAATATAAATCAATTTTGGTTTTGTACGTGCTATGAAATCTTCGTCAATTATTAAACCATTCGAATCAGTTTCACATGTTACAATGTTTAAATGATGATCCTTAAATATATTCAGTGCATATAAATAGGTTGGCATTTCAACAATGATTGTATCATCCGGTTTTGTGTACATTACACACAATTGGTCTAAACATGACGATATTCCATTTGTTATGAATATATTTGATGTGGATAACGACGTTTCATTAGGAAAAGAATAATTTTTTTTAATAAATTCCAAAACATGTCCACGAAATCTAATGTGATCCCCACCATAAATATACATTTCTGGTTTTCTTTCTTTTAAAGATTCAATTGTTGCTTTTTCAATAATATCGAAAGGAATGAGCGATTTATCTGGTTCACCTCTTTTCAAATCAATCATTTCTAAAACCATCTATAAAGTTCGATAAATTAATTTGTATATGTAATGTCCAATTTGAGCGAGTGATTACACTGGGTGTGGGCATATGAGTGCGTTCTCATATGAGCGCCTTGCATTTTAGTGCGTATTTTTTTAGAGCATCTTATTTGGGTCCACCATCACTCATTCTTGAAAATATTTTGATACTTTGAACAATTTCTGTCATCACCGTTTGATATTAATTCTTAGTGGCTAGTAATCTTTTATTTTAATTTCAAAAATAATCTAGTTTACATTATTTTCGAACAGCTCCATCATCAACATAGTCTTGTTGCAAACCGATATTTTGAAGACGATGACTGCTATACGAGCTCTGCTGAATGCATACTATAGGGTTCAAATCTCTGCACGAGCTATTTCGTATTTTTTCTTCTTTGCATTTCTTATCTCATAAATAGTCTTAAAATGGTCTTAAAATGAGCCAAAAATGATCTAGAGAGTTGAGCCTAGAGACTAATAGATAGTAAACTTAATTTTTGACATTTTTTCACTTCTAGTCCCACCTTGGAAAACACTTGCTTCATGGTGAAAAATGGAAAATAAAGTTTAAAAAGGGTTTTCGCCCTGAAGAAAGGGTTTTCGGGAGTCGACGTCGGAGTAAAAAATACCAGAAATTAACTTTACTATCTTTTAGCCCACAAACACTCTGTACAGTGTTTGTGGAAAGTGGTAGAAGATAAATGCGCATAATTCCATAAAAAGTGCTACTTTCGTTTGTGTCATAATGACTCATAAATGACTAATCTAATACACATGAATGATATGATCTAATTATGATCATAAAATGTGACAAATATAATTGTAAGAAAATGATGATTTTAGATTACAAGTTAAAAATGATGTAAAAATGACACATAAATGTCACATCTATGATCCTAGAGATATGATATAAAAATGATACATAAATAGATCATTTTTAGATGATCATACTAGGATCATATTTAGATCATTTTT